GAAACCTATATACTGTAGATCATAAACATAAACAAATGACGTAACTCGGCCGAATCATATGCTAATAACATAAACATGATCGTTTAGTCAGTTCCATGTAAGTAATGATAAACAATGTTTACTTTCGGGCCAGTAACATCATTTGTTTATGTTTATGATCCATACCGTGACTGTTCTAGTATCCGTGCTAAGCTTTAAGAACATAATGTTTACGTAATATATCTATTTTCTATTATAGTACGATTTATTGAAGTAAGTGTATCAAAATCTGTCATAAGAAGAAATGCATCCACATTTGAACAATCACAACAAAACATAATCAACTAGAAATCACTACCAGTTTAATAGTAATTTAATACAGACTGGCAGTTCAGTTTGGTTCACAATTAATTCTTTATTTACGATAAAAATGTGTCATTAAATATTCCTATGTGTTACATGCAGGGCAAAAGGAAATGCGTGTACGTCAATATTTTACAATGTCTGCAACTTTATTAAAGTATTATCTTGTCATAACTTCAGCACTACTTGTCCTGAATCTTATTTTACCAAGCATACTCGCCTTTGGCTCGCTAACTGTGTTATTCACTAGTATTAACCACAGCCATGGTTTAATTCGATTTGTTACAAATTATTCAATCAAAATGCAGTTAAAAACTACTTCCGGCCAGATATTTGGTTGGATTGTGGAATATTTTAGCTGTTGTATAAAATAATAGTTTAATGTGACTGTGGACCCAATTTTGTACGAAAAACACGTGAACACACGCTGTTGTTTGATCTCGAGTAGCCGACCCAGTGTTAGCAACAAGGGGCCAAAGCCAAACACTAGGAATGTAGCGCCAGCGATGTCCCTTTCACTTTCAGCAATTTTACAACCCTCGCCACCCCTACACATGCAAAGAAAGAGAGGCAGTAAAACAGCTGTCGAAGTCGATCGGGTCGACCTAGCCTCGGTCGTCAACTCGCTTTCTTTTTCTTCGCCTACAAGCGTTTGAATAGGGGCGCGGGAGAACTACTTGTGTGATGCGGCACGCGTAATACCGGCAAAGGCTTTCGGGTAGTTCTACAGAGCGCCACCAGAATTGGGTCGCATGGTCGCGTTTGAGTTGCCACTTTGCTATTGAAGACTCTTAATTTAAACTACAATATATTCATAGTTGAATAATAATTCATAGTTAGATAAAAGTTATATTTTCACGTTTGGGGGCGCTGATATAGGCACCCCCAAATGTAACCACAACTGAATACGATTTCATAAAAGGATGTTTTGTCTAATTGCAGTATCCTAGGTCAATGTTGACGTTGTGTTCAATCTATGTCATCCATCTGTTTATCTTTGTACGTATAATAGTCCAGGCAAACTAAACAAACTTACATAGGGATCGTTAAAAAAATTGCAAGAAAATGTTTTATGGTTTTATTTTGTAGAGTTGGGTTTGCAGAGTGACATACTAAAAGTTGCCAAAAATCGGTGCACGAGAAAACCACTAAAATCAGAATTTAAAATGGCGGCTTTTTCCAACATTGGACAAACTAAAAAAACATATTTCACATGCATTTGTTATGCACATTTTTCGAGATATTGACTTGGGACCACCGCCTGTATTTATTGGGTGGTTAGTACTTCATTTTGATAGGGAACATGTTTTTGGCCGCCATCTTGGATCCGCCATATTGGACATAGATAATTTTTTTTCAATGTAATGATAGTGTTGTGACACATCATTTCCAACTACATTTTTACACTGATTTCAATACCGAAATCAGTTTTTAAATATCTTTATTCATTTAGAAGATATATCCAAACGAAAACTCTCCACCATACATTTCTTATGGACGTTTCGTAGTTTGATAATTTTTTTAAAACTATTTTTCTTATATCTCCAGTTCTTATTGACGCTTGTAGTTCGTTCTAGGCTTAAAATATTCAGTAATGTAAGGGCTTTCATTTGAGCTCTTGATCATTAAAATCAGGCGAGTTAAAGACCAGCTACGAACCTCAGAACAACATTAAATTTAACTTTTTAGAAATATTTTTTTATTAAAAGATTTATAACTCGGGTTGTTAATACGTCACAAAGTTATTTCTGGTCTCAAATTACTCAGTAAATGTTTAGCTTTAATTTTATTGATCATTAAACAAAATCTGACAATTTTAAAATGAGTCATGGACCATAATTTAACATTAAAATGTATTTATTTTGAAATTTGTCTTTAGTTAAGGACATATATCCCAAACCCTAATAACTCCCGGAAAGTAATCCATACCTAAAATAAAAGTCAATAATTTGGCGAATCATTTGAGACTATAAAGAGTTTTGGGAGTTATTTAGAATTGGGAATATACGTCTTTACCTAAAGACAAATTTCTAAATAAATACATTTTAATGTTAAATTATGGTCCATGACTCATTTTAAAATTGTCAGATTTTGTTTAATGATCAATAAAATTAAAGCTAAACATTTACTGAGTAATTTGAGACCAGAAATAACTTTGTGACGTATTAACAACCCGAGTTATAAATCTTTTAATAAAAAAATATTTCTAAAAAGTTAAATTTAATGTTGTTCTGAGGTTCGTAGCTGGTCTTTAACTCGTCTGATTTTAATGATCAAGAGCTCAAATGAAAGCCCTTACATTACTGAATATTTTAAGCCTAGAACGAACTACAAGCGTCAATAAGAACTGGAGATATAAGAAAAATAGTTTTAAAAAAATTATCAAACTACGAAACGTCCATAAGAAATGTATGGTGGAGAGTTTTCGTTTGGATATATCTTCTAAATGAATAAAGATATTTAAAAACTGATTTCGGTATTGAAATCAGTGTAAAAATGTAGTTGGAAATGATGTGTCACAACACTATCATTACATTGAAAAAAAATTATCTATGTCCAATATGGCGGATCCAAGATGGCGGCCAAAAACATGTTCCCTATCAAAATGAAGTACTAACCACCCAATAAATACAGGCGGTGGTCCCAAGTCAATATCTCGAAAAATGTGCATAACAAATGCATGTGAAATATGTTTTTTTAGTTTGTCCAATGTTGGAAAAAGCCGCCATTTTAAATTCTGATTTTAGTGGTTTTCTCGTGCACCGATTTTTGGCAACTTTTAGTATGTCAATCTACAAACCCAACTCTACAAAATAAAACCATAAAACGTTTTCTTGCAATTTTTTTAAGGTCATATCCTATATTTCTCCGACTATAAAACCCGGCAGAGGTTGTGGTGGTAACTTAAAATCGTGATTCCTGATTATTCTTGATCTTTTTTTATGACATCAATATTTCCGGGCCTAATCCAAACAAAGTTAAAGCAGACAAACATGAATTGTAAACAAAAAGCTACAATGAAGAATTTAAAACATGTAAACAGTGTTATTTTTCTATTCTTTCCTTGAAAAGTGGAGCAGTAAAATAATTTGCATTTATCCTTTTTTATTAAGACTCGTGTACATAGCCTCGATTTGTACTGTGGTTTAATTAATTTTGGTCTATGGTATTTTAAACTGTGTTCTACTAATCTTACTTATTTCCTATAATCAATGACAAAATAAGAGTAAATAAAATAACCTTATAGTTCCATAGTTTATATTTAACCAGCTGTTAGTCAAAACAAATTATATTTTTCTAAAACAAATCGAAGATTACAAAGATTGCTTTAAAAAATTATTTGAAATCATAGTATTTTACTATGTATATTTATTTAATCTGTCATCCTCTTACAGAAGAATTGAACGTAATAATGCATTACACATGGAACGTAGGATGTGCATTACACATAGTATAAATAAGAATAATTCAACCCTAAGTATGTCTTTACATTTTTATCCAAATGCTGAATTTGTGACAGAAAAGCTGAATGTTTACAGCTGTTATGTTAAACAAATTATTTTATGCCAAAAGCTAGTTTAGAACACTGAGCTATAATAATATAACTGGAGTAACCACTCTGTGTTTTAAAAACGTACCACTGTTTTTGCAGGTTTTGTTTCAGAGTTTCGTTTTGTTAGGTTGGCCGGGTGATCGGGTTGGTGGGACTTGTCAAATTAGAGAGGCAAAATCAAGATGGTGTCATCCTGTTTTGTTGATGATAGTAAACAAATTCTGCCAACTCATCATTATGATTGCAATATAAGTTTATTTGTCTATTTTACGAGCAAGAGCAACCCATTTTAACAAGATTATAAACCGATGGTCGTTATTTAATCAAATGCCATAAGGCTATTGTCCTAAGCCAATATCTCCAAACCAGGAAACTTGACTAGCCTATTTTCACCACATAGATTTAAAAGAGGTAAATAAGTTAGTATTTATTTACTATCAAACAAAAACAGAGGTTTTAACGTGCAATAACTTAAATAAGTTTTTGATACAAGTCCTTGAAATAACGGATAACATAACCCCAAATAAATAGTATGGTTAGGTTAGAATGAATTGGAATTATTTGACAGCATCCCACCAACCGATCACACGGCCAACCTAACAACACGAAACACCAAAAACAAACCAACCAAAACAGTGGCACGTTTTTCTCTAACGTTTAACCAGAGAGTAGTGACTCCAGTTATAATCTATATCTCAATGGTTTAGAATCTTAGCGTTGGCTGCTAGACTTTTTAAAAACTAAAACTTAATTTCTAGAAAACTGGGACCCTAAACTAAAATTATGGCTTCGACATTCCCTAGTTCTCAAAATTATTTTTCTTTCAACACAAAAATCATGAAAATCCGTCGAGTGGTTGATTCAGAATCGTGAAATAAAAAAACACTGTTTCGTTTTAATATTATAGATAAGTACTTACTGAAACTCCTAACACAGTTTTGACTATACATAAAATAATATAAAGTATAGAGAGAACTGTTATTTGAACTAAGATGATTGTACATCAGTAATCAAACAAACAAAATAATATGTTAAAAATAACTATTTTAAATTTGTTTATAGAGACTAGGAATAATGACATCTAAAAATGTTTTCATTTGTCCAGACAAAACCACCAGCAGTTGAGGCTAATCCAGCTCAAAATCAACCATAGGCAGCCCTACTACTGTGGGCCTATCAGTTCCTGACTTTCAGATGAGATGAGTAATTCTTTAAATGTAGGATGTGCGTGTTTAAATGTGTGTTATGGTTGCTACACAAACGTTAAGGATTAAATATATTTATATTATAATGTTATCTGCCACTCTAAAAATGTAATGAACTTATATAGTTTGTAGGCTAATTTAATTGTCATATTTTATTATAAGAAACTTTTACATGACTATTCAAGACTTTGAAGTGCACTTATTTAAGCTAAAATGTTTAATGAGAAAAATGTTGTGAAGCAATTGAACAATAAATTGGGTAGGAACCATATAGCCCAGCTGGACGGACAAATACCAACGTCCATTCATCAAATAAAAATACCTCTGCTTAATCGATAAGTATATTTTGTAAGTTTACAATATTTTTCAGTAGAAATGTTAGGTAAGTTATTTGTTTGATTCACACTGCAAGACTCAAGTGCAGGACTATTTTTGAGATGTGTGACTGTCTTACAGCTTTGTGCAAGTTTTAATTGTACTTTACTTGGTACAAATTGCATCAAGAAGTAGAATTAATGTAGTGAGTACATTTTATTTATGTTTTTTATTGTTACTAAATAAACTTATTTTGTAGTTTTTATAAAAGGTTTTTATTTATTTATACCACAGCCACTGCTTACCCAACCAACCACAAATGGAAATGTTTTTTTTCTGGAACCTAAAAAGTTGGTTTCACATTGATGTCTCAGTGTGTGTGTTTTCAATCTCCCTTCAAAGCCCCTAGCCCAAACACAGCTGCTAATAAGGACTCTATGATAGGAATTAATAAAAAATATGACCTCTGCCGTGTGGAGAAGGGGGGCACAAACAGCCGGTAGAATTAACCAACAATCTCAGCCAGACAGAAGGCGGTGGCGGGCCTGACTCGTCTCAGCTTTAAAATAAAATTGTCTATACACAATCGGATCAGGTTCATTTAGAGCTCAACATTTACACATGTATGAGTCACTTTAGGCTACCTGATCTGATACCATAGATAAAACATTTATCAAGAAAGTTGATGTTTACAACTAAGAAACCGGTGTTAGCAACGCGGACACTGAGAGGGGGATGCGGAATACTATCCCCCGGAAAACTACCCCCCAGGTGAAACGTGACGTCACAAAATCTGCTAACTAACCAATATGGAAGCCGTGTCCGCGACTGGAATACTACCCCCCTAGACAAATCTTGCTATGTAATTTTAATTCGAGGAATTCCGTTGGATAATAGAAAATGCGTGTGGTGAATATAAAAGAGATTTTTGAAATGTTACAGCAAGTTTGGTTGGTTAGGTTAGGTTGGATTAGAACTGTTTGACAACTAAATTTGAGTGTCCGTGACTGGAAAACTACCCCCCCCTGGTCTCTGACGTCAATATGACGTAGGAACCTGCTTTGGGGGGGGGTAGTTTTCCGGGGGGCAGTCTTCCGGCGACCCACAGAGATTGCAGGGAAGGGACAAGGTCAATCCCAGCTTGCGTCGACGGCCACTACAGACCCCTAAACCCGGGAGTGGTTAATGAAACCACCTCTTGAGCTTGCTACTTCTGCGGCGAATAAAACTACTACTAGCTACTGACCGATCTACGTCAGTACAGTATGACCATTTGCATTTTAAAGGTTGTGTTTTGTTTAGGCTACAATTTGTTTCTTGTTATTTCAGTCATTATTAAACATTGTTTAACCAAACAAAACGATATAATCACAAATCATGACTTGCCCCTTAGTTATACAGGGTGAGTTTTTAGTTTTACTAAGTGGAGTGAAAAGGCCACGACCAAGGTGCACCGTAGACCATACAGACTAAGCAATCTGCAATACAACACAACTGTCTGATATTTAACCCAACAACCAATGATGTCTCCTTCAGTAGTGATCCCTACCAAAGTTTGCATTGCATTACAGTATTAGACTGTGGGTGTGCTGTGTGACTTATCCAAGGCTTTTGACTGTGTGGATCATGATATACTTTTAGAAAAACTAAGTAAGCATGGAATAAAAAACACTGAATTAAAGTGGTTTGGATCCTATTTAAAAAACCGAAAACAAAGACTTATTGTACAAAAAATGCAGAGAAATTATAAATCAGAGTGGAACATAAACCCCTGTGGAGTTCCTCAGTGCTCCATTCTTGGCCCTTGTTTATTTATTATATATGTTAATGATCTATGTAAAGCTACTAAGATGTCTACCTTTCAATATGCAGATGATACCGCTCTAATTTCTACAGGACAGAACCATGACATCATACAAGCCTCAATAACTCTGGAATTTCAACTTCTCGGGGACTGGTTTGCAGTAAATGGTCTGTCCATGAATGTGACAAAAACCCAACTAATTCAGTTTTCTGCATCCAATATTAACCAAGAAATCTGTTTAAATACAAACTTTAATTCAATTCACTCACAAAAATCAATAAACTATCTGGGAATTGATATTGATTCACAATTAAATTGGCAAAATCACATTAAAAACCTATCAAAAAGACTACGTTCAGCCACATTTGTTCTTACGATAATCAGGGATACTACTAATTTAAAAACACAAGTAGCAGTATATCATGCATATTTTTCATCGATTATGAATAATTATGGAATTACTGTATGGGGCTCATCAAGTCAGACCAAAAAATATTTGTTCTTCAAAAAAGAGCAGTAAGAATAATGGCCAGAGTTCCCAATAGAACACATTGTAAAGATTTATTTATTCAGTTTAAAATTTTGACCTTTTTTAGCTCTTATATATACAAATTGGCATTAATTGTTAAAAGTGATTTCGATACATTCATGGACTGTCAACCATCTCATACACATAACACAAGATTCAAAAATATTATAAAACCAATTCAACATAGGCTTAAAATATTTCATTTATCTCCTCAGTATATAGGGCCAAAATTTTACAATAAACTACCTGCTGAGATAAAAAAACATTGCCTCAGTTTCTAAATTTAAATCATCTTTAAAAAGTTTCCTTTTGGAGAGGGCATTTTACTCACTAGAAGAATATCTTGGAGATGTGATTACAATTTGAAAGGTATTACTTCTCCCATAGGTTTGTATTGATTGCTTTATTTGTTTTGTATTTTATAATGTAGATTTTTCAATGTATAATTTTATAAGACTTAATCACAAATCACCTGTCAAGAGAATTGATGTAATGTGATGATGTTAAATAAATAAATACATTAGTATTTATTTACTGAACAAGTCAATAGTTAACTAAGTAAAATTTGTCTTTACTTCATTGAAATTTGATTGAAACCAATTTCTGTGTATAGTCAATGTTGAAACTGAATTTGTTGTCGATATCCAGTGTCAATCAGATGCAAAAACTAATAGAAGTTTCACATTTATTTGAAGTGCATGACTATTATTTGACAGATGCGACTATTTCAGTTTCGATCATGTGTGACCCCACGCCACGGCCACCTGGCGGCCGTGTCTTGGTTTAGCAGCCCAGTCACTCCCGTTCCTACCTAACTGTGCTTCAACTTCAATAATTCTTAATTGTCTTCTTGCTGTTTTGCTACTTACTACTTTTAGCGAATTTCCCATATAGGGAATAAGCTATTACCGTAGTACTCATGGTAAGACCTGGACCCGGGACCGATTTACTTTTTCGTTTTGAGGTCCCTAGAGGCCAAAAACACCATCCGTTCAAATTCATATATATATATATATATATTTATATATGTGTCCGTTAGCGCGATAACTCGAGCAAAACTCATCTGATTTTGATGAAATTTGGTACAAACTTGTAAACCCACGTTTATTCGAACGAGTTCGCGAACCAGCATGATCGGACTAGGGAACAGGTGTTTTTGGGGGGTTTTATGGGGTAAAAATTGGTTTTTCCCATTTTTAACCCTAAAAACTTAAAATTTAACATTCTATTTCCAAACCATTTTGTAGAGCTCAAAAAAACAAATAATTTAGTATATTGAAGCGTTATTATGCGCCTAATGGTTACGGAGAAAATTCCAAAAAACTGTAAATTTAAAATTCCCATGTTATTCTTATGGAGAATAAGTAAACTAACTGTTGTAGTTTGCTTGTTTATGAACATATTTTGATCAAATTTGGAAAATGCATTCATTTCATCCTAAACTATTAACATTTTACAAAAAAAAACACATTTTACCCTCCCTGTTGCAGCAAACCTAAGTACTCGTTAAATTAATGTTATTTAAATAGGGAATAAACGTGGTATTTTTAAGGAGACATTTTTGTGTAAATCCAATAAAGCAAATGGAAATTCGCTTATCCACTGAATCCACTGAATCCACTCCTCTTCATCGTTGACCAGCCTGGGCCGGATAGATAGCGTCAAAAATAATTAAAAACTACTATTTACAATTTTACAATTAAATAAACATATATTTAAAATATACTGACTGCGCAGCGGCGGTGGATGCTTATGCTAGCGACAGTGTTGTTGAGGTTTCAAAAAATCCTTCAATTGAGTAAAATGGATTTGCTAGGAGAAGTTCCTTTAAGTTCTTGGTGAAGACCTTATCTTCCATGTTTACTAAACATTTTGGCAGGGCATTAAACATCTTAACAGCAACCTGCGGGAAACTACAGGGTGAGTCAGTGAAACGGGCTATTTTCTTATAACGTTAGTGAGTAGAGGGGAAGAAGGAAAGGGGCCGAGTAAGTTACCCTGCGTTCCCAACCTCTGGAAGTTTAGTTGCCATACAGCTTTAGACCGGACCACAGCGGGGTTTTGCCGTCAAGGCATTTTATCAAAACAGTGAAAGTTCTGTGCGTACACCACATCGGGCCTTGCGCATTAATTTTGGTCTGCCCTCTCAAGTTCCATCGAGACATGCAATTCAGGGCTGAAACTTGGAAGAAACGGGACAAACCACAAAAAGAAGAGGTGTGGGAGTACCAGAACTGTGCGGACACCCGAAACATTTGAATCAGTTAAACGATTGCCAGAAGTCCCTGTGGATCTGGCCAACGGCTTAGCAAAGCACTTGGACTTTCCGCGCCAACAGTGAGGCGAATTTTGCATTATGATCTTAACATGCATCCGTACAAAATTAAGGTTGTGCAAGCCTAGAATATGGGTGATTTTTGATCTTGCATTACTTTTTGTGCTAATTCACAGCCTATAGATGAGCGATGAGGCTCATTTCCTCTTAACGGGATGTCAATAAGCAAATTTTTGATATTGGTCGGTCCACAAGCACTTCATGAATGGCCAGTTCACTCTAATAAAGCTACGGTTTGGTGTGCCGTTTCTTCCCTTGACATGAAATGGGGATATTGCCTGGCCCCCTTGATCCTCTGACCTCAGCTCCTGTTTTTTTTTTTTTTTGTGGCTTGACTAAAAGTTTAAGGAGTTGACTCTGATATTATTTCAAGACTTGATGCTTGTTTTGTTGGTTCAACACAAACTTCCACTCATTTACTACGTTTTTTAATGAATAAATCGATCGTATGATGTTTGACCTTTTTTTAATACTTACCGAAAAATGGCCCGTTTCACTGACTCACCCTGTATATCTTGTCATAGCCAGCCTACATC